ATTCTACGGGGTTTACTATTATAATCGTAATTCGAATGGTTACGTTTAGAAATGAGAATCTAAGGAAGCGTTGGAATGCCGTACTTGAGACAACTAATCACAGACGTTTGGCTTTCGAACAGGTATCCGTATTGTTTTATTAATACTCATTTATGTGCGATTTTCTGAAATATTAGTTGTAAATATGTTGTTTCAGATAAAATAATTAATTTCATATTTTAAATTATGGTAATTACATCGTAATTGTATCGTTCAGGCGCTTCTCGACAGTAGCGCGTTTGACGAAGCCATCCTAGAACTAGAGTCTTGGATCGATGTTGAATTAGCTAAAAATGCAGCGAGTGACGGACGTGTGCATGGCGATGTGGACACTGTGAAAACCCTTGTAGATGAACACAGGAAGCGCGAAGCCGAAAGATTATCTAAGAAGAGAGGATTAGATACCGTAATGAGCAAGGTACGCTAGGCTGTAATGTGCCAGAGGTAGTTACTCACTTAGTTTTTTATAGGCAGCTAAGCTGTCTTCCAGCGATAATGATGAGAACAGCCACATCAATGAAGTGTGCAGCCGAGTAAATATGAAATGGGAACAACTGGAAGAGCAAGCTCGTGCTCGGTCTGAAGCTCTCGAAGACGCGACTAAACGAGCTGCTGATTTTGATAGGAGGGTCCATGATATTCTTGACTGGCTCGTGGAGACGGAGGGAAAACTTGCGGTAACTTATCTTTGCAAACCCCAGATTTTCTGGTGTTTAGTTTCTACACAAAAATAGTTCATGATTTTCTTCTATTCCCTTATCGTTTAAATAGCTTTCATATTCTGCATAATTTTGTGGAGGAGCGGAAATCTGAGCATATCTTGGTGTACTCTTTTACTGAGACAGTTGTAATTATGTAGCGGCGGTTCAATAATTGAATCTTTTCGGTTTGGATCCAAATTTACTCACTTGATACCGCAGTTTTGTTTTCCTTATGTGGTGTTTTTGCAGATGTCCACAAGCGATTATGCCATCGCATTGTCCCGAGTGGAGGATATCAAGGTCTGTCTTCGAGCAACTGTTCACTGATGAACTTTATTTTCCAATTTTAGACTGAACTTCATAACAACCGCGAGAGGCGCGATTCCTGCCTTGATGCTGGTCGTGAAATTCAAGCAAAATGCCATCCCCGTGCTGAACAACCCATGAAGCATTGGTTACGGGTTGTAGAGAACAGATGGAGGGTGAGGCGTAGACAATGATTGATAGAGAGCGCAATGAGAGGTAGTTTAATTACAGGAAGTCGAAGAAAAAGCATCCGAGCGCGAGTTTAGCCTTCTAGAGCAACAGCAACAGGAAAAAGAGCGAGAAGAGGCTCTTTTCGAATTGCTGGAGTTCGTGGCCCAAAAAAGAGAGGAACTGAACAAGATGCTTGCTCAAGCACTTCCTCAAGACCTAGACTCTGTAAGTATCGCCAAATCAACAATATGTATATATGTTGATGTTGTTTGTTATAGATGGGCAAAGCTCAGGCGGAGCAGGAGAAATTCGATAATGAGCTGCGAGAAAAGCAAGCACAGGTTGATGGTGCGAT